TATCTTTCAATGATTGGCAGTGTGCACTGGCTATAACTGTCGAGACTGGGATATATAGGATTCGTAGGGAGAGTGAGAGTAAAGAAGTGGGACCTACCAGTGGGCACCTTCCAACCATCCATAATATCGGCGGGTGAACACTGACAACGTTTCAGATTTTTTTCTAAATGGTGTCAATGTTCATCTGACAGAGATCCCCCCCTCCTTCCCCCTCTCAATATATAAAGTAAGAAATAAAGAAATCATTAACGAATTTTCTTTTAATTAAAAAAAGGATAGGTGCATGAATAGAATTGGAAAAAATATCAACCCCTCGTTTGAAGGAGATATATATTTTTTCAAAAGATTGTATCTATTTTTTTCTCTCAGAAAATTTGAATAGAGTGTATCCTCAAGGATCGTTCCTATAGCTACCTTCCAGCAAACCATAACATGGAGCTCTTTCACATGTATGTTTACAGCGTGTGTCTGTCGCGTTAGAAATATTGCATTCTATTTCCATTATAAAACCTTCCCTAAAAATGCAGTCCTGGCCTCTGAATCAGGACAAAAGAAACAGCTTTAAGAAAAAGCATAAAAGAAAAAAAGGAATGGTTTGGTCTGTTATGATGATGCTGATGATGATGATAATGATGATGACGATGATGATGATGATGATGAGCCCGCCACAGACGATAAAATAAATTTCGTCAATTAATTGTGCCTTTAAAGTATCCTTTCTGTATCTTGTTGCAGACAGCACAACTAAAACAAAATCAAGCAACCAAACGAACAAAATCACAGAACTCAAAACAAACGAACAAAACAAACAAGCAAACAAACAAAACAAACAAACAAACAAACAAACAAACAAACAAACAAACACTTGGATCAGATATTACACACTATATCCGTGTGCCTTGTTATATTCTTGTTCTGTAAGGCTGAGCATTCATTCAACAGCTGTTCCACTCTCGAGGCAGCACGGGGTGTTTTATGGTGACTTGTAAAATATCAACAGCGTAGCTGCTATAGATTCCACGAGATATATTATTATAACCTGTCTTTTAGGTCGAGCCGAGCGCCCACACTGTACTAGATCTAGATCTCAGGGGAAATGAGCATCACGTTACTTTAATTGGTAACATGCTGAGTTATGGAACGGATGAATGTGGTTCCAATCCCCAACGGATGTTTTTGGTTGTTGGTCGCCTGGGACGTTTTGAAGGCTGCCCACCTATTTTGTAGGGTTCCTGACTCTTCAGGACTATTATATCAATTATATCCTCTGTAATTTCCTGTAATATACCGCTCGGCTACGATGAGATGAAGATTTGAGTTCTTACCACCCACATGTTATCCATGAACTTGAGGTTTTTGTTTTTGAGCTTTCA